GTTCCAACCCATAGCGACCCTGTATAGGGTTTCCGAGGGTGTAAATCTTTACGGGAGTAGAAAGCCTCATCTTTCTCCCGCGGTGCAGCTGGTAGTTTCGAACCGCTGACCTTAAGGTTCGCAGCCCGATTCGTAACCACTACGCTACCAAAGCTTAGACAACAACAAAAGGCAACCCAATCATAAAATGGGCAAAGGATTTGAATAGGTGCTCAGCACCTTAGCCATCAGAGAGATGTAAATTGAAACCCCAGTAAGATACTATTATGCTCCCACAAGGATGGCTATGATTTAAAAAAACAAAAACAAAAATAACAAATGTTGGTGAGGATGTGGGGAAATTAGAACCCAATTCATTGCTGATGGGAATGTAAAATGGTACAGACTTCATGGAAGACAATGTGGTGGTTCCTAAAAAAAAAAAAAGTAAAACTAGAGCTGCCATATGACCCATCAATTCCACTCCTAGATATATAACCTTGAGCGGAAACTCAAGAGTAACTTGCACATCAATGTCAGCACTGTTCACAATAAGTAACAGGTGGAAACAATCTAAATGCCCATCAACAGATGAAGGGATAAACGAAATGTGGTACATACATACACTGGAATACTACTCACCCAGTAGGAGAAATGAAGTCTTAATACATGCTACAGTCTGAACGGAATGTGAAGGCATTATGCTGTGTGAAATAAGCCAGTCACAAAAGGATAAATATTGCATGTTCTCACTTATATAAAAAGACCAAAAAAAGGCAAATGTATACAGACCAAAGTTTATTCGTAGTTATGTGGTACTGCAAGATAATGCACTGGACTGCAAGGTCAGTTTGAACCACAAAGTCAGCAGTTCAAACCCACCAGTCACTCCTCGGAAACGCTATACAGGGTCACTATGCATTGGAACAGAATCGATGGCACTTAACAACAACAACCACCACAGGGGCAGGAAGAAGGAAGGAAAGGTGGAGGGCACTAAAGGTGATGAAAATGTTGCATTAACTGTAAGATTGCACGGCCAGTTATTGTAATTGATGCAATAAGTTGTACACTTGTAAAAAGTTGAACTGGCTAAAGTTGTGTGATGGATAGATTTAAAACAATGAAAAGAAGAAGAATAGTTACTGAGTCTGCTTATGTATGACCAAATGCCTCATAGGATTCGCTTCCTTGGTTTGGAGGTTTAAGGTCATGATTCAATGGGACATCCCAATTAAGTGACCTAAAATGTGTTTAGTGCTTCTGTTCTACTCCCAGTTTGTTGCATAGTGTCTGGGTTCTCAAAAGCTTGCAAGGAGCCATCCAAGGCACAATTCTATGTGCCTGGAATAATAGAGGGAGAAGGAGACTCAGGATTAAGCTAATTGACTCTGTGAACAACTGCCTTCTTTATCATGAGACCAGAACAACAGGGTGATGCCCAGCTCTATTATTAAACATTTTAATAAAATATTCCATAGAAGAATCCTGATCAAAACAGGGGAAAAGCAAAATAGAATTTCAGATTGTCATGGACTGTAGATTTTCTGGAGTCATAGAGGATGAAAAAATTTCTCAAGATAATATTTAACCCTTCAATCAAAAATATGCCTGCAAGTCATCTTAAAGCCAAACAATAGTTTAGCTTGTTGTTGTTGTTAAGTGCCATGGAGCTGGTTTCAGTGACCGTGTATAGGGTTTCCAAGAAGTGGCTGTTGGGTTTGAACCACTGACCTTGTGGTTAGCAGTCCAGTGCTTTATCCTACAATGCCACACCAGAACTTAGTAAAAAAAAAAAAAAAAAAAAGTCTACCTTGAGAATTATGAATTTTTAAGAATTATTTGTTGTTGTTAAGTACCATCAAATCCATTCCTACTCATAGCAACCCTGTATAGGGTTTCCAAGGAGGACTATTTACATGGGATCAAATTGACAATAACAGCTCAAGAAATAAGATAGGAACCTTAGGGAGTTTATCTTAATGAGGGAAGAACAACTTGGAAAAGGAAGGTGAAAATGGTTGCATAACTGGACAAATGTAATCAAGGTCACTGAATGGAACATACTGAAATTGCTGAATTAGTACATGTTCTCAACAACAGCAATAAAACTTTACAAAGGAAGAAGAAAGCATTGCTTATTAAATCAGCAACAGACAACTACCTCTTTCACAACAGGGTTGGAGGTGGGTGGGTCAGAATGAGATACTTAATGACAGGCCAAAGGGCCAAAATGAATTGGTAGCAAAGACTTTATTATAATGTTGTAGGACTCGTTAAAACACCAATCTCAGTCTATTCTGGATGTGTTTGGTAATAAGATCCTTTGTTTTTTGTAACATTCTAACACCACCATGATCCTCCATTTTATTTGATGATAATACAGATGGAGACCAATGCAAACATCCTTCTCTACTATAGCTTCTAACAATGATGGTGAATATTAGGGCCTCTGAGACACAATTTTTATTTATCTTTCTCAATTCACTAAGCAACCATTACTTAACAATACGAAACCAGGAATCATCAGTAGCAACTAAATTCTTTCCCTTCTTTTCTAGCTCTATGCAAAAAATACTCATGAATAAATGGGTCAGGACCCTCAAGCCTCACTTTGAACTTGAACCTCACTTACTGGCGCTCATGAGAGGGAACCAAGCACTCAAAAGCTATTTATTAAAGTGATTTTGTTTTCTTTTCTATTTATCTTTATTGTAGAAACACCATAGAATGTTCTCGGTAGAGTGGCAGGATAGCAACCGTGTCACATCCTTGGTATGAATGGTAGCTTAGGGAATTTAATGTAAGGATTTACAAGGCTGGGAGGAACAAGAGAGCCTCTCCCTACCACCACCTCACCTAAACATGGAATCTGCTACATTAGAATACTTCATAAAACCGAATTCATACTAATTACCCATCGTATAAGATGTGTTTGTTTTTAACCTAAAGTGATTTTTTTTTTTAACTTTTTTTTTTTTTTAACAAAGACTAGGAATAGACTTTACATTTGGGGCTGACTGGTGAGTGTGTCTGGTTACAGGCAGGGATCCTTAAGCCTAAGGATAGCTACAAAAGGAAAATGGGTGTCTGGGGTAGAAGGTGATACCAGTACAGCAGACACCTAGCAGTCAAAAGGAGGATTAGCAAACTGAAGAGTTCCTGAGCAAGAAGGGGAGGGTGTGGGGAAGGAGATGGTTAAGTAGGAGGACTAGGACCTTGCTTACCATATGTTTACTACATGCAGAAGAACTGTCTGGAGAAATAGAATTAGAACCCCAGACCACAAGAACTGGAGGAGGCTGGTCCCACCCCCTCATTTTGCAGAGAAGAGGTGATGCGGTTTGCCCTTCTCTTTTCTTCTCAAGATGCATTATGCTGTGAGCATTGGCCTCTTGGTGAGCATCTTCATCGGGTTTCAGAAGAAAGCGTACACTTCTCCAAGCAATCTGCCTGCTCTCGTTTCCCTGCTGATGCTGTATGGGTAAGTTGTTTAGGCCAGGAGTTAATGTCACTGAAAGGAAAGCCAAGGGAAGACCTAATGTTTCCAGTGGCCGTAGCATGTGCATACTCAGCCTCCAGCACCAGGGCAGGGTCTGCAGTTGCTAATTAGGATCTGTCTGGCTTCTGTTTGTGACACTATAGATGGGGATATTTCTGAGACTCCATTTAATCAGAGAAAATAGAAGAAACTCCTTGTGGTCTAAATCTTCTCCCACTCAAACTGGTCTGACCATAGAAGTATGGGATTCCGACACATCCCAGTTCCTAACTTCAGCTCTGATTCCAATTCATCTGGGCCTAGTCTGTACATCTTAGCAGCTCCATCTGTACTGGCTGATGATTGTTTGCCCCAGCTGCACAGCTTCACCTGAGCAAGGTGACATGGGGATTAAGTTCACCAGAATTATAGAACAAAGCATGAAACTTTATGTTCCTGGCCTACCACTTACTATGCGTGCAACTGAGGACGTGTACTTTACTCTACCTGGGCCTTAGCTTCACTTGATTCTTTCTATGTAGGCCAGTAAGGCGCTCTGGTGTGCAGCTAAGGATTTGGCAGCTAACCACAAGGCTGGTGGTTAGAACCCACTTAGCAACTCTATTGGAGAAAGATTTGGAGAGCTGCTTCTGTAAAGATTACAGTCTAGGAAACCCTATGAGACAGTCACTATGAAATGAAAAATAAATGCTTAGTAACAGCAACAACATGCAGGCCAGGAGAGTCTTGTCAGAGCACCAGTCCCCATTCATCTCTCCTGGAAACGGAGAATTCAGGAAACAGCTGTGAAATGTCAGCTCCAGTACACTGTAAAGATGAGTTTGTTGCAATCTTCAGGTCTGCTTTGCTATTCCAGATTAGAATCCAAAGCATTGCAGGGTTGGACATCTTCCTATGCTTTGTATAAGCCCTTACCATTCATAAAGTCGCCTGTGCTTTCCACAAAACCCAGAAACCAAACCAGCCATCAAGTTCATTCTGACTTAGAGTGATCCAGTATAGGATTCCAACACATATCAGCCCTATGTAGGACTTGCAAATGAAGTCCTTGACAACGTCAATCTTTTCTCTGTTGATAAGAATGTTGTTTATTGGTCTAGTGGTGAGGCTTTTTGTTTTCTTTACATTAAGATGTAATCCATACAAAGGCTGTGCTCTTTGATCTTCATCAGTAAATGTTTTAAGTCCTCTTCACTTTAAGCAAGCAAGGTTGTATCATCTGCATATCACAAGTTGTTAATGAGTCTTCCTCCAATCCTGATGCCACAGTTTTCTTCATAAAGTTGATAATTTTGTATGGTCCGTGAATTATGTTATAGATTACAATGACCCTTGGCAAAAAAAAAAGAGTACCCCACCCCTGATTTAATGAAACACAGAGACCAAGGAAGTAGTGTACCTCTGGTACCTCTTGGACTCTGGCCAGTTCCAACATGTCACCTCAGGTGTGAAGTGTGTATTATTTCTGAGGTACAGATGATGGACTGGCAATTGGAACTCTACACCCATTGAGTTGTGTCATTTCCCACAGGTGGGCAATCATTCCCATGATGTACCCAGCATCCTTCCTGTTTGATGTCCCCAGCACAGCCTACATGGCCGTCTTGTGCTAATTTGTTCATGGGCATCAACAGCAGTGCCATCAGCTTCATCTTGGACTTATTTGAAAATAACCAGGTGAGCATGACTTGCTTGGCTTCCTTGTTTGAGTAGTAGGATACAAGAGAGGATGTGCTGATCAAGTCAGCCAGTGGGCGAGCACTGGGTCTAGAGAAGTTTAGTTTTGCTTTCTCTCTCCTTCCTTTCTTGACTCCTCCCTCCTTCCCTTCCTTTCATTCTTTGTTAATGAGTTCTTTGTTCATTTGTGTGCTCTGAGTATCAGGGTTTCCTGAGCTTATTTTGCAAGCTGTATATGACTTTTCATAATACTGTTGTTGTTAAGTGACTTCAAATCAGTTTTGACTCATAGTGACCCTGTATAGAGTTACCAAGGAGCAGTTGGTGGGTTTGAACTGCTGACCTTATGGTTTGCTGTCCAATGATGATCCTACAGTGCCACACCAGGAGTTCTTTCATAAGACTAAGCTTTTAGATTTGCTTGCTCATTCAAGAAGTTTGCCTTGGGGACTTCCAGCACTAAGACTTTACACACATACACAGGGAGGATATTCGTGTGATTTCCAAATTTCAAAGGTACAAAAACATACACAATGAATTCTTCCTCCCTTGTTTCCCAGTCACCCAATTACCTTTTCTAGAGGCAATCTCTCATTCAAGTTTCCTACGTGTTTTTCTGGAAATACATAAGCAAAATACACAAGTATTTTTTTCTCCCACTTTCTTACGCAAATTGTCACATACTAACATATACTCTTCTATAAAAAGTTAATCCTAAAACAATGTTAGGAATTTATGGTGCTGAATGATTCATTTTTTATGAGCTATAAAGTCCTACTGTTCCCATCCTTACCCCCACTACCCATAAAAAGCAATTTAATTTACTTGCTAAAAAAATGAATTAGAAAAAGAAAGAAAAGCCAGTGACTACAGGAATTACTCCACATACAGATGTACACACAGACAGACAGACACTCTGCTCTACTATGTCTGACTGGGTTCTGACCATGACCATTCTCGCCTGTGTAGTTGTGTCCCTGCGGCCTCTCCACTTTTTCCTTCCCTCATTAGCTCTGGATTTTGAGGGTGGGCACCAGCCCTCACCCACCCTGCTTCCCTGTGCCCCAGCTTCACCATTGCCTCTGGGCTGTGCTAAGAGAAGAGAAGGCAAATAAATCTGTGTTGATGCCTGACAAGTCTGTGGCCCCCCTGAGATTGCTTCTTCCCAGATCTTGTTAGACTTTCGGTGGCCACTAAGCAAGAAATGAAACACCATCTGTCCCATGGCTGATGAAAAATGTACCAAGTTGCAGTCAGACCCCAGAAAGGAGAGGAATAAGAAGAGCTAGCCAATAATGGCCAGAGCATCTGGCCAATGGAGAATGATGCTCTTTAGAATGCTTTTTTCCCAAGTTCCCCATGTCTTAAAAGAGTGTGTTACTTCTGACAAATTACAGAGCAGTGATTAGCAGCTTAGAAGTGCTCTTGTAGGCAGCACTCATCTAGCCAACATTTACTGAGTATATACCCCACCGGTAAAAGTTGGTTGCTTTCATGTAAATTGCCAGATAGATGCCAAAGCAATTCTCAGTCACCCACAGGAGGCTCCTCAGGCCCTAGTAGCTGCTGTCCCTGCTCAATGAAGAGGTATTTCTGTGATGGATGTGCCAGTATAAACAAGTATGACCACTCATCCTGCCCTACATACATTCACATTCCAGCTAGGAAAGAACCCACACTCTAAGTTAGTAATTGATACAAACCATGGTACAAAGAGGTTCCATTAGACAGCGTGTGACAGAACCTCAAAGGAACCTAACAGATAAAACGTCATGGGTCCAAGTAGGCCTAAATAGTGGTTGCAGGGGCCAGGAAAGACTTTGTGGAGGAAATTTGATTTGAGTGTGGTCTATAAGAAGCAGTATTTCGTTAGTCCATTTAATAAATATTGAAGTGACTACTACAAGCTCATCACTGTGCAAGTATTTAGGAAGAACAAAAGTAATTAGGACCTAGTTCTTGCCCTCCATTGGGTCACCACCTATTGGGAAAAGATCTTTTAAAATGAATCTTGGAATGTGAAGAGTACAGTGAGAGAGGAATGGATACTTCACCTCAGGAATCTGGGAAGGCTTGTGAGAGAAAGGGCTACTTGAGCTAGAGAGGAGTAAGAGCTGCCAGGGAGCAGAAAGGAAAAGACCGTACTTTCTTGCAATAAATGATAGAAATAGCAAGTGGAAAAGCCTAGAGTCAAAAGGACTTCGTGCACTGGGGCTGGGTGTGTGTGTGTGGAAGGGAGGTGGCCTGAGGTAGACTAGTAATGTAAGGGAGGAGCAGAGAAATTGTGGGTTAGGGGTGGGTCTATGAGTTTGGCTGCAGAGGGCAGCAGCAGCCCAACCGTGAATTTTGTCAGCCTCACCCCTTCAGGGTCTCTTCTGCCTTCTTGTGGGGGGTTCTGCTCCAAACTCTAATCCTGGGACAGAACAGTATCTGACCATCTGAAAACAAGACTCCCCCCAACTTAACACACCCCTCAGAGAGTCTCTGGCCTCCTTGTCTGCTGCTGACAACCCAGACAATGGTAGCTAACTTGCAGGATGCTGAGACATTCCCAGGAGAGGGCCACTTCATAAGCAGAGCTGGGAGAGGCTGGGTCCCTCTTCTTTGGTACAAGTCAATGCAAGAGTCTCGTAGCCCTGTGATGTCTCACAACTGTGCCAAAGGGCCAAGCTGCCAGCAGCACTGGGTTTCCTGGGGACAGATGTCTCTGAGGACCAGCTCATGTGCTTCTGCAGGAAGAGTCCACTGAGGAAACAGCTGGAGAGCTGCTTCTCTGCAGAGTCCTATGGTTCCAAGGAGAGTAAGGTGAAAGTTCATCACAGGACTGGGCATAGTTGATGATGTTCTTGTTGTTAGTTACCTTTGAGTTAACTCTGACTCATGGTGACCCCTGCACAACAGAACTAAATGTTACCCAATTCTGCTCCATCTTCACTGCATTGTGAGTAATTTCCTATCTAATTACCAGCACTCAATCAGTCAGTCTTCTAGTGTAGTCTATAAGGGTTTCATTGGCTATTTTTAGAAGTAGATCATCAGCCCTTTTATCCAAGTCTCTCTTAGTCTGGAAGCACCACTGAAATGTGTTCACCATGATTAACCATGTTGGTGTTCAAAATACTAGTGGCGTAGCTTCCAGCATCACAGCAACACGCAAGCCACCATAGGATGACAAACTGACAATGGGGTGGATGAGCATCATAAGCACTAAAAACACTGCTTGACTGAATGAATGGAGTAGACCCCCCCACCCCCACATACAGAAGCTTACAGGAAGCCCTAGTCATTATTGATCCTGAGACACCTCCAAGTACCTCAGGACTTCCCTATCAAACTCCTTATGTTCTACTTAACAAATTCCGCCTGTGGCCCATCTGGCTGCAAGGACCACTTTGTCTGCAGGCCTTCCCCTGATCTTGCTCCATGAGAGCACCTACGTCCTACCCAGGTTGGGAGAGGGGCAGGCAGGCCTAGCCCTGCTGCTGACAGTTCTGTTGCTCTGTGTTTCAGACGCTGTTCAGATTCAACACCATGCTGAGGAAACTGTTCATTGTTTTCCCCCACTTCTGCCTGGGCCGGAGCTTCATTGACCTGGCCCTGAGCCAGGCTGTGACGGACATCTATGCCCAGTTTGGTAGGCAGCCGCCAAGGCTTGTGGAGGGTGGGCCTGCAGCAGGAGTTCCTACACCATACCTGCAGCCCGGGTTGGTTTGGGATTGCCGTATCAATCTACCCTTGAAGGGGTGAAGGTGCTTCTGTTTCCATAGCTGAGAAGGGACTGAGGTCAGGATGCTCCTTGTTCCTACTCTGACTGGGAGAGCCAAGATGGGCCTGCTAAGTGGCCTAGTGTTGAAGCAAAATCTTTAATATTTAACAAATGATGTTGGTTTCTGTCTCCAGGTGAGGAGCACTCTTCAGATCCCTTCCAGTGGGACCTGATTGGGAAGAACCTGGTTGCCATGGTCATAGAAGGAGTGCTGTACTTCCTCCTGACTCTCCTCATCCAGCACCACTTCTTCCTCACCCAGTGGTATGTTCGTGTCACTGCCGACAGCTGCCAACAGCCAGCTCACTGTGTCCCACCACTTGATTCATACGGTTGTGATCTTCTTTTTCCTCATGGGCCCCACTCCATGATGGTTTTTTACTTCAGCAAAGCCTGGCTTGTTCTGAATAAGGCAAAGAGAATCAGGTTTAAATTGACATACTAGAATCTTAAAGAGTCTAAACTTTAAAATATTTAAAATTCAGTATTGCTTTTATTGTTGTTAAGTACCATCTAGTTGGTTTGGACTTATAGCAACCTTGTATGGGGTCCCAAGGCTGTAAATCTTAGTGGGAGCAGAAGGTTTTATCTTTCTCCTGTGGCTGGTGGGCTCCAACGGCTGACCTTGTGGTTCACAGTCCAATGTTTAACATCTAGAACAGCCATGCTCCTGAAATACAATATTACTACCTTCCATTGCTACTACTCATTTAATTAACAAATGCTCATTTGAATTTATAAGATGATATTTCACATGACAATGGTTAAAGAGTATCCAAATCTAGTACTAAATTCACATATTCACTAGAAAATATACAAAAATATGGTCTTATTCTAATTATAGATTTGAAAGATAAGAAAGAAAGGGAGTAATATAGGGACAGTGTGCAGGATTCCCAAGTAGTGCAAACCTTTTGTGCTTGTCTATTAACCCAAAAGTTGACAGTTCAAATCCAACCAGGAGTGCCTTGGAAGAAAGACCTAGTTACGGTTGTTGTTGTTGTTGTTGTTGTTAGTTGCCATCAAGTCTGCTTTGACTCATGGTGACTCCACGTGTGCAGAGTAGAACTACCCCATCAGGTTTCCAAGACTATAAACTTTCAGAAGTAGATCGCCAGCCTGTCTTTTGAGGTGCCTCTGGGAGGATTTGAACTTTCAACCTTTTGATTAGTAATAGAGTGCTTAACCATTTGAACTATCCTGGGACTGTCTGAAGAAGTTCTAGTAGCGCTGAACTGCTAATTGCAAGGTCAACAGTTCAAACCCACCTACTGCTCTGTAGGAAAAAGATGAGACTTTCTATGCAGATAAAGATTTACAGCCTCAGAAACCCTATACTTGGATTGCTATGAATTGGAATTTACTCAAAGGCGTTAGGTTGGTTGGTGGGTGGGTTGGTGGGTTGGTTGGTTGTTTGATTGGGACCATCTATAAGATTATAAGATTAAAGTCTTAGAAAACCCTATCTGAATCAACTTGACTCCAACAGGTTGTGTGGAGATTTTAGTTGTTTGTTGTTGTTACTTGGTGTGAGGTTAGTGGAGCCTCCTAGAGGAGTAAGTGGTAGTAATGATGCCCATCCCACACTGGGGAGGAATAGAGGTGACTACCAATCCTTGCTCGACACCAGGACTTTTTCCCCAGCCTGCCCTGCTGTATTCTAACTTTGATGCTCAAGTTTCTAGAGAGCAGCCTCTGTATAAGCCAAACTAACCTTGACTGGGTTTAGCCCAGGGACCCCAATTGTAAATCACTGGACCCCTCCTTAGCAAGCTTTCCTTTTTTTTTTTTTTTTTTCCCTGTCATGCTCTGAAACTGAATCTGGCCACATATAAATAGTTTCGGAGGATTTGTTTTTATGCACAGGGAGCGAAACTACCCTCCTACTCACAGGGTTGTGGTGAGGATTAAAGGTGTCAACACACTTTGAGTAAAACAATGTGATCTGAAAGTGGTTCTAGGAGACAATGTGAGGCATTGTTTCTGGGGCCTCTTGGCCCTCTCAGGCCCCCTCTGCCACTCTGGCCACATGTTTGAGATGGCAGGTGTTTGTGTGAGAGGCGAGGGAGGTTGCTTACCAAGCTGACTCATGAGCTTCCAACTCTGATAGGAGAACAATTGAGTGAGTCTGGTGATGCATGAAGCCATAAAGTACCATTACCTGTTGCTGTTGATTCTATTCCAACTATCGGAGAGAGTGGAATTGTCACACAGGGTTTCCAAGGCTGTGAATTCTAAAAGATGAAGCACATTGTCACATCTTTCCCCCTTGTGGAGCAGCTGGTGCATTCAAACCGCTGATGTTTCTGCTAACAGCTGAATGCTTAACCACTGCTCCATCAGCATTCCTAGGACCAAGAAAGCATTCAGCAATCTCTGGCTTTTAAGAGGCTGAGTTGGTGTGTAATTCAAGCCTCGGGGGATGGAGACCTAGGCTAGGGCAGAGGTAAGAGAATAGGCAAAAAGGTGAGATGAAAGATCAGAGACCAGGATCTCTGCACCTAGCCCGGTCCTGTCTGTTTCCTTTCTTTAGGAGCAGGGCACCCACCAAGGAGCCCACTGTTGATGAAGATGATGATATAGCTTAAGAAAGACAAAGAATTATTAGTGGGGGAAATAAAACTGATATCTTAAGGCTATATGAACTAACAAACGTAAGAAAATAGGTGTAGGCATGTTCTTTTGGAACTGTTCGTTGGGCCCACAGGTTGGGCAACTTTGTCATTTGCCTTCTGTAGAACAAGCTGTAATTTTGTACCAGCAATTAGTTTTCCTTATTTCATTGGGGGCTTGGCCTCACTGTCTCATTCTTGTCTTGTGAAAACATCTAATTCCAATGCATTTTTTTTTTTCCTGGCAGTCATCCTGGGTACACTCACAAGCCTTCCTTGGCACCAAGTCTGCATAGTGAGGGTCAACATAGTGTGGGGTCAGCTCCTGGGGATGGAACTCTCAGCATCTCTTTCTCATGCTCTCACTCAGCACCTCTCCCAGCACTATGTCAATATTTAACCTCCTCCTGCTGTAACTTTCCCCCTAAACTCTCCTTTCCTCATTGCTGCCCCTTCCCCTCCCTGTATGAACCCTCCCTCAGTTCCAAGTTCAGCTTCTCTGAATCTTGCAGGTTTATTCAGGCACCTAGCCCAGCAGTGGATAGGCTGTGTGTTGGAGTCCACCCAGGAGAGGTGGGTACTCTGCAGGCTGTATTGGCAAGGGCTTTGGAAAATCAGCTCTCATATGTGTCTCTTCTTCCTTCTGAAACTGCTGTTCAATAGAACCATAACACATTCCACATATATAATTGTAAATTTTCTAGTTGTTGTTGTTAGGTGCCATTAAATTGGTACTGATACATAGAGACCCTATGCACAACAGAACGAAGCACTACCTGGTCCTGAGTAAACCTCACAATCATTGCTACTCCTGAACCTATCATTGCCACCACTGTGCCAATCCCTCTGGTTGGGGATCTTTTTCTCCAACGCTCCACTTTATCAAACATGATAGCTTTCAAACATGATATCAAACATGATATCTTTCTCCAGTGAATGGTCCCTCCTGATAATATGTCTGAAGTATGAGATACGAAGTCTGGATATCCTAACTTCCAAGGAGCACTCTAGCTATACTTCTTCCAACACATATTGGTTTGTTCTTCTGGCAGTCCATGGTACTTTTAGTATTCTCCAACACCATAACTCAAATGTATCAGTTCTTTACAGCCTTCCTTACTCACTGTCCAATTTTCGCATACATAATGAGGTTTTTTTAAAATGCCATGACTTTCGTCAGGCACACCTCGGTCCTCGATCTGGTATCTTTGCTCTTGAACACTTTAAAGAGGTCTTGTGCAGATTTGACTAATTAAATACATCATTTGATTTCTTGACTGCTGCTTCCATGAGTGCTGATAGTGTAGAAAGCAAAATGAAGTCTTTGACAACTTCAATCTTTTCTCCACTGATATGAAGAAAAGATGTTGCTGTTGTTGTTATGTGCTGTGGAGTTGGTTTCGACTCATAGCGACCTTGTACAGGGTTTCCAAAGCTGTAAATCTTTACGGGAGCAGAAATCCTCATCTTTCTCCTGTGGAACAGCTGGTAGTTTCAAACTGCTGACCTTAAGGTTCACAGCCCGATTTGTAACCACTATGCTACCAGAGCTCCTTATGAAAAAAAGTAGCCCCATGCTAGAAGGAAACAAATGAAGTTAATTTTAATAATTTACTGTATTTTACCTAATACATCAAAAATTTATCAATTCAACATGTAGCCAATATAAACCATTATTAAAGAGATAGTGTACATTCTTTTTTGTTGTTGTTCTAAGTCTTCAAAAGCCATGTGTGTTTTGCATTCATGGCACATCTCAATTCAGACTAGATATAGTTCAAGAGATCAGTAGCTATATGTGTCTAGTGGCCTCTGTAACGGTAGCCTGGGTCTGAAATCCTCCCCCTAAATCATGCATTTGCTCTACCAGTTACTGATTGTCATCAAGTCTGACTATAGTGACCCCATGGGTGTTTGAGTAGAACTGTGCTCCATAGGTTCTTCAGTGGCTGATTTTTTTGAAGTAACTCACCAGGCCTTCTTTTCAGTCACCTCTTGGTTAAACATTTGCACCCACATATGCAGTGCATCCAGTGACCCCAAGAATACACTTACACTAAAAAACCAAAGCCACTACTAGCCTGTAGATTCTGTCATAGTGACACATAAGAAGAACTGCCCCATAGGGTTTCCAAAGCTGTAAATCTTTGTATTAGCAACAAAGTGCTTTATCCACCTTTGAATTGTTCAGAACTGCCTATTTATCTTCTTCTGTATGCTTCCATAGCATTTCAAAGCACTTTCATATGGATTATTTTACTTAATCCTTTTAACAGCCTCATGACAGGGTACTATCACCCAGTTGTAAATAAGGCAAGTAAGACATAAGAAGGAAAATGTCTCTTCTCAAGTTCATACAGAAGGCCACTCAAACTCAAATCTTTTGATGTCTAGTTCAGAGTTCATCCCACTTTCATGGTCCATAATCTCTGGCACTCATCAACACAGTAAGATCTCAGTGACAAAGAAGAGAATTGAGAGAGAGCAATATAAGAGCTCTGGTAGAGTAGTGGTTACGAATCAGGCTGCGAACCTTAAGGTCAGCAGTTTGAAACTACCAGCTGCTCCGCTGGAGAAAGATGAGACGTTCTGCTCCCGTAAAGATTTACAGCCTCAGAAATCCTGTACAGGGTCGCTATGGGTCAGAACCGACTCGACAGCACTTAACAACAAAAAAGCATATTTATTATTCTGCAGAAACTTCTGGATCCCAGGTTAAGAATTTCAGGATAAGAACTGCCCTAGAGATCAAAGTGACAACAGTAACTCAAAAGATTAGATAAGTACCTTGGGGGACAGTCTGTTTAAGTTGGGAAGTAACAAATCAGAAAAGGAGGATAAGAATAGTTACACAACTCAAAAAGTGTGATCAATACCACTGAGTAGGAATGGTTGAATGGGTGTATGTTTTGCTCTGCATCTTCTCAATAACAATAAATTTTATATACACACAAACACACACATTGTTGTTGTTAGGTGGCATCGAGTTGGTACCGACCCATAGTGACATATGCAAAACAGAACGAAACACTGCCTGATCCTTGGTCAACCTCACAATTGTTGCCATGCTTGAGTCCGTCGATGCTGCTACTTGGGCAATCCATCTAGTTGGGGATCTTCCTCTTTTTCTCTGACCCTCCACCTTAACAAACATGATCTTCTCCAGTGACTGGTCCCTCCAGATAATATGTCTGAAACATGAGAGACGAAGTTTGGCCATCCTGGACTCCAGGGAGCACTCTGGCTGCACTTCTTCCAAAACATATCTATTGGTTCTTTTGGCAGCCTGTGGCACTTTCAATATTCTCCTCCAACAGCATAACTCAAAAGCATCAATACTTCTATGGTCTTCCTTATTCACTGTCCAGCTTTCGCATGCATATGAGGTTACTGAAAACACCATGCTTGGGTCAGGCGCACCTTAGTCCTCAAGCTGACATCTTTGCTCTTCAACACCTTAAAAAGCAGATTTGCCTAATGCAATATGTCGTTTGATTTCTTGACTGCTGCTTCCGTGAACATTGATAGCTGATCCTAGAAGAATGAAGTCCTTGACAACTTCAATCTTTTCTCCATTGATAAGAATGTTGTTTATTGGTCCAGTGGTGAGGATTTTTGTTTTCTT